CAAGTCAATTATTTCTTTAAAACGACTGGTCGTAAAATGATACATTACTGTATGCTTTTAATGCCCACTCGACCCAGGTTCGCAACATGGAAAACGATTATACAAAGGTGCAAATCGAGTGATTGATGTCATGACTTTTGAAGCGCATCCGGTAACTTTACCTCGACAGGTTTACTACGCCACCAGTTCTCTTAATAAGCAGTGCAATAATCCACCTTCTCTAATCTGCTGTAAGAACGTAGTAGTATTAGCTTAATTGGTGATAGCCAATTGTCTGGAAGGCGGTAACGTCATCGCTAACACTACGACGTGCAAGGCTTTCAGAAGTCCGGGAAAGACAAAAATACCACATTTATGTGAGAAATCGAGTAGATAATGATCTCTTTCTTCCAATCAAGATTTGATATATATAAGATACACCGAGAGTGGTCTAGAGTTCCTTTTCAAAGATTTTAATTTTACCCGATGAATGCTTGGCGTGTATAGCAAGCAGTTAGTACATCTGGCGTGAGCATCTGGTCGAACATTCACCCGAATGGTCATAGAGCGTGACTTTATTGTCTTGACACACCCCGATGCACCTTTTCAATTGAACAGGGTCTCCGATATGGATTGAGTCGCTGGTAATACCGATGTTGATGACATTCTTGTCGCAATAGCAGAATGGCTTCTACATCACGGGCATGACCACTCAATCCTTAACTATTCCATTGCAGTCGTGGTTCAGCAAAAGACCCAGTGTCTTCTCTCCAATCCCGATTTGGCATCTCGCAACACTTTTCGTGGTTCGATGCTAAGCAATGCATCTAGGAGTCCTTAAATGAGAGCCTGGGCCCTGACTAAGCGTAATCGAGACAACCAATTAGTTGCCTTTCGGTCTAACTAAAAGGGGAGGCTCGCGCGCATTTACTGCTAGGCAGTTATGGCGGTCTGTATTTATCTCGCAGTAAGGGGTTGGCATGGCGTCGGAGTCAAATTTTGCGGTCTGAGCGCTTGCATGTCACCATCCAAGGCACCAATATGCAGGTTCGCGGCTCACTCAGCCAGGCTTCCGGGGATCGAGCATATGATACACATCTTTCATTCACTAACAATCCCGGTAGCAATATGTAGCCTCAAGGCACATGCATCTGACATCGTTCCGCTGGTACGACCAAGCACTACATTATCGCATATCCAATCATATAAATTGGGGTTATCGGCTCGGAATAGTAGCTTTTCATTTGACGAGTTAATACGCCCGTGAACTCTACCTGCTGCATGTCTGGGAGGCGGAATTTTTCTGAGGAGCCGTGCCACATGCAGGCTGTGATTGGTTAGATGGTATTACCACATCGAGCAGTTGATCAAAGCTAGGGATGTTATACAGCTCTGGAAAACTATGATCTGGACCATCTGTAAATACGGCTATGCAGCCAATACGATGCAGCAATGAGATTATCCTGTTACTCGGCTACCAAGAGGATGGAGCCTAAAAAGGCGGTAACAAATCAAGATTAAAACTTAACTACAAATAGCTTTATGTCTAATCTAAGGGCCCTGGTCAATGGTGGGCTGGAAGTTGCAGCAGCCACCGGTTGTTATTTTCTGGGAATGATGTTATGTGGCTTCTTCCAGCAGCCAAATACTAAAGTGATGTTAAATCACCACGCGTTCAATGCCAGTAATGGTCTGGCACGATGTGAACGACAATTCAGATGGTTGTCGATATGGCTGTATTAAGGGTGTCGAACTCATTGAGACGTGTCCAGATGGAACAAGAATAATGGTAGAATTTGATTTCGGTGATGGCGATGAAGGGTCAGTAGAAGCGAACTAGTCTAGGTCTAGGGAGCAGTCCGTCGCTCCTTCCTCAACAATACTGATGATTGGGAAATATTAGTAGGGCTACTATTCCGCCTTATGTGAGAGTAAAGGAGTTACTATTAAAATCCATTGCCTTACAGTTTACCAGTATACCAGATCCCAATTGTTATTTCTCATTTATTCATCACCCGAACCACAATAAATCAAACCAAATCCTGCAGTCAGATTGCCTTCCAGGGACAAGACCATTCATTTATGGTCTATTTCCCTGTAGCTAGTACATACTTGCTTATTTGCGTAGACTAGCCCAACCCTGTCGAATCCTACGCAGCCTTGATCGCTGCTTCTGTAAGCTGCTGCAACTTGAACCCGAGGTCCTTGTTGACACGTCCGAAGAGGCCTAGGCTCAGTGTTAGCCTCTTTTTCTAGTAGACGGAGTTTCCGACGATACTCGACTAGGGCTACTAGGGAAACTTACTATAGACAGCCTTTCGCAATTCAGGGTACCCGACACCCTTAATATTGCCGACGAGGTTCTCAATGACTCTATCCTGGTGACCAGACTCGCGACCAATGACTTCCCACAATACTGCGGGCTGGACGAAGTCATCGTCAGTGATCTCGCTGGTGTAGGCGGAAACCTCTCCAGCCCACTTTTCGTGTTCAGTGTGTAGGGCCAGTGCAGAAGCGCTAATTCCATTCTTGTTTTGATAGAACTTGGTAGGTTTGATCGAGGAGCCAACATAGTTGGGGTCACCACCGTAATTGTCGTCAAATCTCATGGCTCCGTCACGCTGGAAGGGGCAGTAGACTTGCACCTTCGCGGCGTTTGTGGGGAGTTGCTGATAGTTTACGCCGAGACGATAGCGGGCTGCATCTGGGTACGCAAAGAGTCGTGCTTGTAGCACTTGAGGACAGTTAGTGATGCTTTGTTGTAAGGCTAATAATTGTCTAGCTTTCCAGCTTACCTGGATCAGCGGACGCAGCAATTCCGGGAACCATTGTTGAAGGCGAGAACGCAGCTTGTTCGATATCGGCGAAGTAGTTTCGCGGCTGTTCCAGCTCAGTGACTGTAGATAATAGAGGAAAAATGAAGACTTACATTGCGGTTCATGGTAAGACGACCGATTTGCTGCAGAGGGAAGTCTTTGTGCGGCCAAACCTTGGTCATGTCGAAGATGTTCCACTTATATTCCTCAGCCTGTTCGGGATTCATCAGTTGAACATAGACGTTCCAAACAGGATAGTCGCTCCTCTCGATAGCCTCGAACATGTCGCGAATCATAAAGTCAGGGTCCTCTCCAGCGATCCTAATAGCTTCTTTGTTAGAGAGGTTCTCAATCCCTTGCTGCGTTTTGACGTGGATTTTAGCGTATTTAAACGAGCCGTCCTAAGCATGACATTAGTGAAAGGCGTAGCGCCTGGTAATCGTGGTTGCCTACAGGTTTGGTAAACTTATATGTGTGTCCACTGTATGAGTTCATGTATCGGACTGACTTTGGAGTGCCGCGGTCACTAAACAGAACCAGAAGTTGATGGATACCCTCGGGGTTGCCGACGTGGAAACTATAAGGTTAGTCTGATTCAGCCATTGGAGCTCGAGAATTTTACCTACTCCCAGAACTGCCATACTGATTAGTTTTCTAATCTCATATCACCTATGAAAAACAGTGGGACATACCATGTTTGCGTCAGGAAGATGAGTTTGAGGGTGTCGCTTGTGAGAGCGGTTCATAGAAGGGAACTTGATAGGATCGCGAATGAAAAAGACGGGCTAAATCAATGAATATCAGACACGAAAGAAGAGAAAAGAAATTATAAATAATGCACAGCATACCGTGTTGTTAAAAACGAAATCTTGGTTGCCCTCGTCGGTATAGAACTTCATGGACCACCCGTGCACATCGCGTGAAGTATCGGCAGATCCGGACTCAGGCCCGACCGTTGACACCCGCTGAAGCACGGGCGTCTTCTTTCCGACCTTGTTGAGGAAGCTGGCGCTGGTAAAGTCGGAACAGTCGCGGGTGGCTTCGAATTCTCCGTAGCATCTACAACTAACTGTCAACAAGATAATTCCTCCAGGGGGTGTTAATGGCCTACCCGACAGCTTTGGCGTGAACGACACTATTTAAGATTCCACGTCAGTGTACCGTGGAAACTTTGAACTGAGAGTTCAATTGAGAGATAAACTAACCGCTCTGGGATTCTCTCGCGGGAGAAGTGAGCAAGGGTCTCAATGAGCTGGGTGTCCTGAAGTAATCCGAGGCCGCCGCCCTGTCTGCCTCGCATCAGAACAGCCGTCTTGCTGTTTGCGAAGGGACAGCCTACAAGAGTCAGTCGAAAACAGAAACCCAATGTGGAGAGGTGCTGTACCTTCGGCCAGAGTGTAATATCTATCATCGCCCATATTGAATGATAATTGGTTTGATGGTAATATGTCGGATAAGACAGAAAAAGTGAGTATATGAGATAAAGCCAGAGCTCGCCCGAGGAACGCAACTTAATATAACCTCCAGTCTAGAAACAGCCCAATGTCGTGGTGCCCGCCTTTGGATGGCATTTACATCAGGTCTTAGTATTACAATTACACTCATTGGGCCCCAATGCTCCATCGCCAACGAGTGTCCACCGAGTATAACTCCTCACCATTATCAAACCATCATCACGATGACCATGTATTGATCCTATGCACGAGATGACGCAAGAATGCCCGTGGTAACCAAGTTCACGAAAGTCAATAGGAGCTGTGTGAGGATATGACAGCATCACCAAATGTAAGAGAGTCGAACCAGATCAACTCGGTCCCCACTCAGAAAGCAGCTCTGTGATTAGACCAATGCCACTACCAAATCTGGTAAGTGCAGCTGCGCCGGAATCTGGACCCCACTACCGAAAGCTTGAAATGCTCCGTCATTACGAAGTACGGATACAGTATTTTATCGAACTGAGAGTGTGGTTAAATGCCAATAATACCGTTCGGATGTGATTTTCCAACTGTTACAGTGCTCGATGCGCAGTCTATTTATTATTGTCAGTAGACGGATGCTTTAACTGCATAAGCAATTTAAATTGATTGGTTCTCTCAGTACTAATCTTGAAAGTAAACTATCAGCTAGTAATCAATTTGAGGTTTTGTGTAATTAGAAAATACCGAGAACGATGTTACTTTGATAAACCATTTTTCTCGGGACATTTCACGCTGCAATCGTCTTAATCGCTGGGGCCGTCGAAGCGTCCGATCCTCGATGGATACCGGCGACCGCACTCTTGGGTACGAATCGTAGGCCAAATATGATCATACTCAGGATCAACAGCCCAACAAGAACGCCCAAAGTCACCAATGCACCGATGACGCCTGCCACTCCTAAACTCATCCCTCTGCCCGAACAAGAACTGGTCGAGGAAGTAGACGAGGAACCATTGCCAGCACCAGTGCTTGAGGCGCAGATTCCAGTGCTATTTCCACAGGCTTCACACCATTGCTGCTGCGATGTAATAGCAAACTCATTTGTCTTGTCCACAAATTGCGACCAAGGGAGTTCGATCATAGATTGTCCAAAAAGTGGATAAGCTAGCAGCTTTGTTGAACCCGATATATCACTTCCATTATAGAACACGAAACGAACTCTAATGTCCGACATGGGGGGGCATGCCAGTTCCCTCGTCATTTGTCACAAGCTCCCATGCCATGGATGAAGCATAGCCAGGGATTCCGGTAAAGTTCGCATTGGCGGATGAGAGCCCAGAGAGGCCGAAATAGGAGAGGAAAGAGGCGTATGCACCAAACTGGATGTTCAGCTTGGATTTTCCGCCAGATGTAATTGTTTCGTTCAAAGCTGTCAGAACTTCGCCTGCCAAATTCATACCTGCAACAGCACGAATGGGGTCTGAAATGTTGTATGCCAGGTTGAACTCGTGCTCATTCCCAAGAACAAACAGCTCTTGCATGACCGTGTCGGTAAGAGTGACGGATGAGGGGAAGCTCGCGGTAGAGTTGTGGATCAAAGCTACGTGGAGCAAATCCCATATGGTGTATGCATTCTTGTAGCTCAGCTCACTGGGGCTGAATGTCTGATTCACCAGCGGCTCAAGAGACTGATAGAGTCCGCGTGTGGTTGACAGTAGATCGTGGTAGGATTTCGAATTGAAGTAGTTATTACTGCTGAATTTGGCCTTGCTACAGGAAGAGGCGCTCTGCAGCCACGTGTTGTCCTCACTCCCACTGCCAGATCGCACATCTGACATAGGAATCAGCTGGTAGCCGTTCAAGGGGGACTGGATGGTTGATCCATTGCGCAGAGTCTCCGTGGCAATAGAGCCAACGGGAGGATAGAGGCCTTGCAGGAACCCTTCTCCGGAGTTGTCAATCACATCATCTTGAGGCGCACTCGCGGTGACTTGGGCCAAGTTAACGATGTCGGTACTGATCCCATCGATTTGGTAGGAAGAGTTATCCGAGATATAGCGGTCATGGAAAAAGGACCCAGTCCTATACTCCTGACTATACCCGAGACTGGTCAATTTTGTTGGTGGCCAAGCTTTAGCGCTGCGGTCCCCATGCCGCTGGAAAATATACGCCCCTAGGACCCGGTCCGCGTTGACCAGGTCTGCAAAGAGCAGTGATGCCACAAAGGTGAGTATGCTGATGGGAGACATGGTTGACAACATTCACTCTCGCTGGTTACTGAACGAAGGCATACTTTACGCAGCATACTATCGCAGCGGGCGTCTCGAGTTTATGAATCACCGATCTCATGCGGGGGAATGCTAAAACCCACACTGCTCGATGCAGCGAGATGTAAATTTCACCGCTAGTCGGATAGCGGCGGAGACTTTCCCTTTGGACCTTAACGTTCTGGCCGAGGCTCCTCATTTCTATTCAAGGCGACCCTTCTGTCACTTTTTTTAGAGGGATTTCTTGAAGGAATGATATCACCTCCTCGACCAGAAGTATAATTTTTGTCAGGTATCGTGGCTGATAGACAAAAATGGATTGTTGAAGCGAGCGAGATCTAGGTGTAGTCTTAGTGTATTCAGAGTCTAGATATGGAGGTTCCCTGGATCCTGTTCCCCGCTCAGTAAAAGTTGAACTACTCACGCTCCAGTAATAAGCAGGAATCGGAGAAATTGACCCCGCTCCTGCTCGGGCCCACCAAAATGCAGTAGAGGTAGTAGTATCTAGGGTATACTGGACCCGCGCAAGCTGGATTTTTCGGATAGTGATTGGGTTTCCATCGCCGATGTTACCATCATCTGCACCTCGCAACTTGGGATCTCTCGCGGTCAGGACATACTATTTCTTGCACGGGACACGGTTCAATTAATGGTTCCGCTCTAGCCGCCAAATAAATTACAGAGCAAGTGTTCGTTACGGACGAGTTAGAACCATTACGCCTACTTGGGTATTCATTCTGCGGAAAGTATGGTAGACTTGCGGAAAGTATGGTATACTGGCATGAAAAAGTCGGAAATCCAGAATGATTCAATTCCGACCTCATTATATGATTTATTCACATTAATATGGGACCGGCTGGTCAAAGACCGGGAAAATGGCTCTGGTAGAATATGTTTACTAGCATGGTAATCAGAAATCAATACGGGTTATCGCAGAACAGTATCATGCACTCGAAACAAGTTTTGATAATGATAGAAGACATAATCTCGCAAATTGAATTTGGTATTGTCCATCCAGATTCATGGAAGATAAACAGGACGTACATCATTCAATTCATAACAAGAAATTCACTTAACCACCAATCAAAATCATGGGGCGGTTCTTCATATTCTTCAGTTCATCCATGCCGGCATGTTTCGCCTTCTTGCGCTTCACGGCCATGCCGATGATATCCAGAATCTCGCGCTCGCGTTCATTGACCGGTTCCTCACTGTCATCAACGCGAGTCGCCGTCTGCATCCTCTCTAGAAGGCCCAGGCTTTTCAAGGCTTCGTCGTCGATGGGCTGCCCGTGATTCTCTTTGCGGATGATATCCCGTAGCGACACCTCTGAGGCGCCGAAGAGACACACTTTTAAATTGCCGTCACTGGTAATGCGGAGTCGATTGCAGGTGCCGCAGAAATTGTTTGTCATGCTCGTAATAAATCCAATGCGGCCCTCAAATCCAGGAATATGATATGTCTTGCTGGTATCATTTTTATGATCGGCAATCTTCACCAATGCCGGATATTCTTGTCGAATAACCGCTAGCATCTCCTGGTACGAGAACATCTTTCCCTGGTTCCACTTATTCCCGTCAAATGGCATATATTCAATAAAGCGGATCTCGAGAGGTATCTCACGACCCATTTCGACAAATGGGATGATCTCACGATCATTCAATCCGCGCATTACAACGCAGTTTATCTTCAGCCTGATGCCGGCGCCGGCCCGGTTCATTTCCAGTATGCGATCAATACTCTTCATCACAGCCTTAAACCCGCTCCGGCGGGTCATGATCTGGAACTGGAATGGATCCAGAGTATCCAGGCTCAGATTTACACCTGTCAGGCCTGCTTCTACCATCTGGTCAAGCTTCCGGTGTAGTGAGACCCCGTTTGTGGTCAAACAGAGCTCGCGAAGTCCATTTTGCCGGAGCTGGCCAATGCCTTGCATCAACGGTACAATGTCGCTCCGGACGGTAGGCTCCCCACCCGTCAAACGGATCTTTGTGACGCCCTGGGAGACAAAGAGTGATGACAGGTACAATATTTCCGGCGTGGTCAACAGCTTGGGTGGTGGTGACAGCTCAATACCTTCCTCGGGCATGCAGTACAAACATCGCAGGTTGCACCGTTCCGTGACGCTGATCCGGAGGTAATCATGCTGGCGATGAAATCGGTCCGTGAGGAAGTCCGAGAACGGCTTCGCAGTTGGTTCGTTAAACGATCGCGGACGCCGAGATGTCTATCAAGAGGACCTGGTCAGATTATGTGACTGCTATAGTGTATATACGAGCGAGACGCACGGGAGGTGCTCCACTTGATGTCTCTAAACACCGTCGCCCTTCCTCCACGACTCGGAAAGTGGTGCGTTGGAGGCGAACGTTCGGAGAGAACGCAGGGAGACGCACTGTCCACTTTTTGAGTTGTTGCTGGGCCATAATCCATAGCTATCATGTTCTAGGGAAGAGAACTAACTAGTCGAAGCGGAAATCATTTCAGCTGGAGTTGGGCGAGGTCTGAGCACAACGCCAACCACGTCAAACACATCTTTCCCCGATCGGACCTCTATCTAGTTGACGCCACATTCCTATGCGGGAAGAGAGGGCCGAATCATGTTTCCTGGGAAGCTTACAGAATAATTGGCCACAACTCACCGCCTTATCAGGATCAATCCCAAAGTATTGGTGACCAATCCATTAGGAGGGGTCGGTCACTGACCGATTGGCCCCCATATCCGGCCCTAGCTTTTGTGGACACCCGCAAACCTTTCAAAGCTCGAGCGTGATGCAATCACTCTGCTGAAAATTGCTCTTTGACAAGGACTCCATCGAATACTCCACCGCAGGAATTTATCTCTGGATATGGCAAGAAGTTTTAACTTTCGAATTTATTCAAATGAATCGAAGTCGATCGATCGGGTACCATGAACCATGAGAATGGAAGATAAGAGCCAGGACGAGGTACTTCTTGATGTATCGCACCAAACGGAGAAAAACAAGGTTCACTTTGCGACAACTGCTATCATTAACCGTTCCGCGGTAACAATTTCTATCCAGTTCGTCCGGAGTCGTGAGGTCATCATCATGCCGAGGCCACGGGATGACCTTGACTGGACGCGATCTGAACCCTACTTCTACGTTGAGTTTGGAAGCACCCAAGGACATCGGACCATGTCTTTCTCAGTCTGCAATACAGTCTCGGAATCAAGAAGAAGTAGTTAGCAATAGATGATGAATGGACAATAGATTCGCGAAACATTAGCGCGGCACATGCAGCCATGTCAAGCTGACTATGAGGCTTTGGATTTATTACTAATTCCTTATTTTATTAGAGAATAAATGATATGTTCTATTCGGGATTGTTACGGAGAGCCCCTCCCCCTTGCGTCGGGTCCACAATATTCCGTGCTTGTAATCGCACACAGATATTGCTCGTATATCCTCTCCTTCGAAAGGAACATCGCCGTTTCGAAGGAGAGTTGGGCTCTCTTCGCAGCGGTTTCTTCTTCAAGAGTTCCTCTTACAATGGTGCGACATAGTTCCGAGGCCCCCAGTACTACTCCTGGGGGACAGACCACCCTGGGCTCCTCGTTCTATCCACCGGAGTATATTTGGAATTCCCTCTCTGATACCCAACGCGATTCATTCATGTCCACTGTGTCCGCTTCCCTTGTTGCGGGCGACGGGCAGCGCAAGCGCCCACGTATAGATCTCGCATCCCTATGGGCCCACTGCTTCAGCAATTACATTGCTATCTGGTGTGAATTCTTCGCTGCCAAGCACTCACTATGCATAAGTGGAATGGTCCTTTTCCACCGCCGTATTTGTGACCTTGCCAGGGCATATAAGTGGCAGGAGTGTATCCTGCAAATGGCCTTAGACCACCACCAGATGGTCGTCGATAAAGGCGACCTCACTGTTTCTCTTGGCGACTGGGAAATTGGGAAAGCTCTCGAGAGCTCCTACCTACGCCCGGACAACGTGCTCCCAGCAAAGACGGCGCCGACTACCCCAACCACACGGTCAACGCGTTCAACCGCCGCCCCAAATAACGATTCTGTCATTTGTGAAAAGTTCAACTCTTCTGCTGGCTGCCACTGGCGAACATGTCACCGTAGGCACGTCTGCTCTAAGTGCGGTAACGACCATTCTATGATAAGTTGCAACGTAAAACCAGCGAGTTAGGACCACGCCGCGGTCTGCCTTGATATAATTCAAACGCTATCGCCGCCAACCAGCTGGCCAGCCCCGCGTCCCAATACTTCTATTCAGTTTAAGATCTTTGACTCTTCCCTCCCGCCTCTGCGTGACTCTGCTTCCCCTTTTATCAGTTCAGCGTGGGAAACTCTCCTTGAACGCTATCCTGGTGATCTAGGGACTATTTGCAGCGGCATTCTCACATTTGGCTGCCGCCTTGGTTGTACGGGCCAGCTGACAGACCGCCGAACATTTAATCACTATATTGAGGAACCCTCTATTATCACCCAAAAGCTCTCCGATGACCTGTCAAATCATCGAGTGCAGGTTTACACTGGCCCCGTCGTTGTATCCCCACTAGGGCTCGTGCCTAAACATGACGGAAGCTGGCGCCGTATCCATGACCTTTCCTACCCGCCAGGGCGCAGCGTCAACGAGTCTATCTCGGACACCGCCTCTACCATCCAATACATCTCCATAGATCACATTTTCGATCTCATCCGCACCTCTGGACGAGGATGCTGTATCATCAAACGCGACATCAAAGATGCTTTCCGCAATATCCCCGTCGCACCCGCCGACCGGCCCCTCCTAGCCTTTTCGTGGGATAGCAAGATATACATAGAGTGTTGCCTTCCATTTGGTCTTGCAACTGCACCCTTCATCTTTAACCTTTTTGCTGAGGGTCTTAACTGGCTTCTGACTGCCTACTTGCCTGTGGCCTCTATCGTTCATTACCTTGACGATTTTATCACTGTTTTTCCTCCTTCTGTAGGAGGTGTTTCTCAGGCTATCGCCGAGTTTAATACCGCATACATTCCTCTTACAGATGCACTAGGTATCCCAAGGAATGACACCAAAGACGCTGCGGGTACCGTGGTCAGTGTACTTGGGGTCGAAATTGACACAATACTTCTACAAGCCCGCATGCCTCGCGATAAGCTAACACGTGCATCTTTCGAAGCCGCGTCGCTATTACAGCAAAATCGTGTTTCACATAAAGCTTTACAACGTGTGGTCGGTTTCCTCCAACACTGCTCAATGGTCATTCGTCTTGGCAGACCCCGCCTCCAGTCGCTCTACAGCGACCTCGCATCTTTCCCACCTCACCAGCGCTCTCTCCGCCGCCTATCCCATGATAGCCGCGAGGACCTCGCGTGGTGGACAGACACAATTCCGTTTTTCAATGGAATCCATTTCTTCGAGAAAAGCCGCCCCCCTAGTTGCCCTCTACACAGACGCGTGTGACTCCGGTCTGGGCCTCTTCTTCTTTTTTACGCCCTCACGGGACTCTGCCAGAGACTGGTTGTCTGCAGCACCTTACCTGCCTTCCACTCACGCCGCTATTGTGGACGCCTCCTCTGCCTGCGCTAGCGAGGCCCACATCAACACCAAGGAGGTTACCGCAATTCTGCAGGCCTTCCTTCTACACAGCCTCCATTGGGCTCATCATCGGGTCCTCGCTTTTACAGACAGTGCCGTCGCGTTCCATGGCCTGTCTAAGCAGGCACTCCGAGGGCCGGCCCATCGCCAACTGCTCATGCTTTTTAGTATAGCAGCCGCCCTTGACATAGAAATCTAGCCACACTGGCTGCCTTCATCAGAGAACCTACTAGCTGACGCATTATCCCGTTCCGACTATCGTTCTATCGCTGACATTTGCCCACAGTGGACGAGCTCCTTTCCCTTACTCCGCCAGCCTGGTTCTCCCGCCAGCCTATTTTCGTGAGTGCCGGTCACGCTAAGCTGGTCTGGAATGGTCTTGCAGAGGGAACGAGAAAGGGATACCGCTCTGCACAGCGCTCATACACCCGTAGCTGCGCCCTCAATGGATTACAGCCGTGGCCAGCAACAGCACCAGCGATCTACGCTTGGCTCACAGAACGACTGCTGGGCGCAGGTAGGAGCCCACCAGTGAAGCCCGATACAGCTATGTCAGAGCTCTCTGCTCTCCGCGCGTACCACGTCGACAACGGTCTTTCTGATGCAGTTTTTGACCTCCACGCCAAGCATTTTCGTCGCATGGTCGATGGTGCTCGCCGGCTGCAACCCCCGCGCGAAAAGCGAGTTCGCAATCCAATCCCACGCACCTCAGTCATAACCCTATCAGGGAATATTTCACATCTACCTGCCCAGCCACTAAGGCTCTCAAAAGGCCCAGAGAGATGATCTCAATCTTGCCGTGGCTGCCCGGGTCGCCTTCGCCGGGTTTCTTCGGGTCGGGGAATTTACATACTCAGCTGCTGAACAAAGGAATACGCAAATCTTCGTTGCTACTAAGTTAACCCGGGGGGGATATCAGATTCTCCCCTACCATGGACCACGCCCTCCTTACTTTGAAGAGAAGTAAGACCGACCGAAACCACGAAGGTGTCAATATTGTCCTTGCAGCGACAAACGACGCGGCCTGCCCCGTTGAGGGCCTTTCTAAGCTATTCCTCTATGATTCACAACCTTCAACTGCTCCTTTGTTTACGCTCTCCTCCGGGCCATTCACCTCAGCTGCCTTCCAACGCGCTGTTATCGCCAAGCTTAAACGCTCTGGGGAGGATACCACAGGACTTAAGGGTCATAGTTTTAGAAAAGGGGCAGCCCAACACGCCCACGATTCGGGCCTGAGAAGTGACCACATCCAAGCTCTCGGAAGGTGGTCTTCCGAAGCTTTCCGCCTTTACTTTACGACGCCTCCAACAACACTGTACACCTGGAACCGTCAGTTCCAGACCGGTCGTCCAACTCCAGTCTCCTCTTTCTCACCACCAGCCCCTCCACCATCCTTATTTGGCCCATCGGGTCATTTGGACCCGCCTGCAGCCCTCGCGGCGCTGTAGTCTTCTGTCAAGGAGACCTACATCACCATGTTCGGACTGCAGGTGCCCCGTACGGGCCAAAAATATCTCACACGTCTCCATTGTAGCAATGTAGCAATGGTTGGAATAGATGGTGGTTATGATTAAGCAAAATTCGGGCTACCAGCACCTCTCCCAATTTGGTCTAATAAAACTTGCGGCATTTACTGTCTAATAACGGCTCGGGTTCGATTCCTGCAGGATACATTCAGATGACCTTTCACCAGAAGGACGGATCAAAACCCGCTGGATTTTTCGGGTGATTTCGTGTTTTCTACGGTTGATTTTTACCTCTTGGCCACCTCATGATTAAAATGAAACCAATTTTCGTAGTCACTTGAGCATGCCGACCCATGGCAGCATCCGGTGGTATTCAGACGTCTGCCACAGGCGACGAGGCCGTGCACTGAAGCGTCGCAGCGTCTCGCGTCGGGCAAATGTGACATGCCGCACTGACAGAAACAGGACGGCTACTTTCGAAGTCAACAATTACGTCTTATCCACGAGTTATCACAAACTGACCTGGCATCTTTCGAGTCATAATTGAGCAATTGTAACCGTTGCGGCAATCGACTGGCCCTACTTTACAAGGCTGCTTCTGCTGATGAGTTCATGGCGTTCCGTGATGACATCGAGGAGGGAGCATTCGATCCAGCACCAATTTCCAGCAGCTGGCACAAGATGATCGCTCGCAACTCACCGTGCTCGTGGCCCAGATGAGATCCCCTGATACCAGCCGCGAACAGCACCCCGGCCGGACTCGTGGGAACGGCCGAACCAGTGCTGTGTTTCACTGCCTCTCCATATCAGCATGATTTCCGGTGAATGAGGGTGGTGCATACTTGCCGTCAATATAGTCTTGCATCAGCATAGGCAAGCTAGAGACGAGCTAGTAGGCGTCAGCTCGATCCCACGTGCACGAGGGCCCGGGATCACTTTGTACCACGGGGAATGGATGTAGCCCTACCTGCCAATGCACGACTCTGGGCGGACCTTCAACCGTGTCAGGGAAAAGCACCGCTAGACCAGAGATTCATTTTGTATTTTTTTACGACACACTTCGACCTGACCTGAGAATGACTGCTCTCGCGGCGAGGGATCTAGGGTAGATCTAAGCCACGGCCTGTCTTATCACTTGCTCAGCTGACATCGGGATTGAAATACCGGGCCTTGAGACCATTGCCAATAGCTCTTTTCAATATGCTGACTGATGGCCCCTGGGAAAGAGTTGGCTGTCCCGTGGCGGTGGATTCTCGGCTTCTCTTCGTTGTCGCGGATGCTCCGATGGCTCGCTCGGTCAACAGCGAGGCCGGCTCATGGCTACCGACAAGCCTTCGGATCGGACGTGGGGCAGGGGGCCCATAGCCGTCAGAATATGGCAACTTACTAATACATTGATTGTTAGCCTTTGTGAGGACAGGGTAATGCCGAAGAGACGGATGAAAGTACTTTGGAATTTTACCGCATGGCTAAGCAGGGGGCATCAAGACTTTCTGAATTGGGCCAGCTAATAAGCCAGGTGAAGTGGTCGTGTCAACCACGTCTTCAGAGACAATAAAGGCGCAAGCGGAGTGATATTCAGTGGCTTGGCTGATCAGGTTGTTGAAGCTGGTTCAGTTTCGAGGACGAGGGGGGAACATAGCTCGGTCAGGTCGAGTGTAAAATTGAAGCTCGCCCTATGACGAAAAAGAATCATAAGCGATATTTCTAAGGAACGGAGAGCTACGAACAGAAAGCGTTCGTTTTGAGAATGAAAATGCAGTACCGGGCGTTGGGAATGGGCAGGGGCAAAGCACTAGTTAGCGTGACTTACAAGACATTGAGCGACTCGTGATAGAAAGTTCGCCATCCTATATAGAGGGTCGTCAGCACATGATGTCTGCCTTGAAAATTCCTGCAGTCGTTGAACTTACATTGTCGGTTCTTGCTGTCCACTGCAGGGGACTGTATAAAGGATGGCACCTCATTATCTTCAATCATTAGCAGGTAGCTTATGAAGGCAACTTGTAACTCACCGTGCTCGCAGCTTGGACCGTTCCAGATCCTGATCCTGAAGGTTCGTTCAGTGGCTTCTCAGAGGAATAACGGAGGCGCGGCTGATATTGAGCATTTTCCATGTTAGCATGATTCCAAATGACTGGGCAGCTACACTCACTTGCTGTTCGAAGGCCACTTGTGTCGAGAAAAGCCAGGCTAGTGCGATGCAACAAGTCAGTCAATTTCGTTACACGATTTTGAAGTCAACATACCAAATAGTAGCCAAGGAAACGAAACGTGTTCGATATTCTTTGACCCGGAGTGACAAAGGAATACTTGCGAACGACGGTTCTGCTGGTGACTGGCCGGGTATATATAGGAATTTAGCCAGGCATTCAGCCTGCGTCAATGAGAACATCATTGTGAATTGTGAGGGCTCAAGCTCAAACTACTCTTCAGTGATAACTGGCTCAACATTTCATCACTGGTTCAAAGCAGCTCTCAGAGGCATTGCATTTTGCGCCTGGTGATGCGGAAGATGAAACACATTTTCTGGCTGTTCGCATCGTGTAAACAGCCGGGAGGACGCCACAGAAAAGAATTGATGACAGTTATCAACATTCACCACCGTCAGTCCGCCCTTTATTGCGACGGGCGAGGTGACGAGGTCATGTCATTTCATTTCACTCATCGGCGATGAACCCGTTAGTCCCCGCAACAACAACTCAACGGAGGCAGGTAGACCGCAGGTTTCTTCGTTGCCTACCTCGCATATCGGAGAAAATCCATCAATAAACTGGCAATCGGATTTGCCCAACTATGGGAGCTCACGCATACAGATATGTGAATGCAGATTAAATATCCCCGAGATCAAAGCTGCTCGCAACAAAGTCTCGCTATAAATACTGCCCTGCATGTCTTTGTGCCGGATCAATCATCGCACATCACAGTAACGAGATATCCTCTCTCAGAAACAAGATCAACGAGGTAACGGAAAAGCGAGATAATCTTATGATTATCGAAGACATGGCTTACATCACACCAGTCATTCGTGAGTCACCCCCACTTATCCAAGCATAAGGACGACTCAACGCAGCTAACCTGTATGATGCTTTTAGCCCTCCAAGGAGCTTCTATTCTAGCTGATCGGGTGCCAAGCGAAAATTCTCTAGATGTCCCTTTCGTTTCAACCAATGGGCACAGACCGCCCTGTCCATTGCTATCATGCAAGGGGAATTGTCAACCGCCCGAAAGCTACTTCGTCGACGAGATATTGATGTCAATGGTCAGAGTTCGAAAGCCCAACCTCCAATCCTGACAGCCCTCGAATATCAACAACACGATATTTTGAGAATTTTTCTGAAAGACCCGCGACTCAATGTTAACACTCGAGACGACCGAGGATACGCCGCACTTCATCTGGCTGTCATATATGACGACCCGGTTGCAATATAAATCCTCTTGAATCACAAACACATTGACGTCAACCATCTCGATTCCGCGGGGAATAGCGCACTTATCCTAGCTACCATGGCATATGACGGCCTGAATCCCAAGAGAAACGAGATCATAGGTCTTTTAATTTCAAATTGGAAGGCTCTGGTAAATGAGCGAGACCAGAGAAGGCCGCTCGGTACTGTGACATGCAGCAAACACTGGCAACAAAAGAGTGATCTGTCGACTGATGCAGCTGCCGGATCTAGAGCCCGGAACTCCGGACGACGAGGGTGTGTCTCCTCTGGGCCAAGCAAACAAAAGGGGAAAGAACGAGATAATTGCGCTTCTGCAGAGCCTTGCTGCACGTGCTGGCTAAGGGGGGGGATATCAAAGCATGGCATACGATAGTCTGGGAATCGCAGATTTGAAATGTATTGATAAGGCTAGGTATTTCAAGCCAACAACAAAAAGATTTCGGGATGTTTTGTCTGAACAACGTACCTTGGGAGATTTTGCAAACAAAGGGTGTGTTTCTCGGGGTGATCTGTTCTCGAAATCTTCCATGTGTGCGTAGAACCTATAGCCATAGGCTAGGTCGCGAATCTAGATCATAAAGTTAGCGTTGAGAGTTTGAACTTATCCTCCCAACGATACGGTCCCTTATCTTTGTGGCTCATTTGTTTCATAGAGTCAATACGTAAGAGTGTAGCCATTGGACTTCCGCTCCTGAATAGATTACTGTAAGCGTCGGCACTGGGTGTCGTTGCATTGACCTGGCCTGTCTCAAGGGGGGACACATGGGAATGACATTTCCGCTAACACCGATGAGCTCGCGGTCATGTTGGACTTACATCTTGGCTGATGATTGTGCGGTTTGCGGGTCACAGAATTCTCCTAACACGGCCTGCTAATGATTTACGCCATTGATATTCGCTGCCCTCTACGTCATCGGTTTCTACAGTAACCTAATGATCACCCCGGGAGTCAATCATGCGAGACTCATCTTTTGTGAGGCAATGTTGTATCCAAGTTGGTCAGTGTCACCTGTCCATTATTAATTCGACCTCCGAAAATATTGGCTTTTGACAACATCGCCCAGGAATGCTTTATTAGTAGATTCTGCGGCAAAGAAGTCTTCGGAAGCAGGCCCCACACCTGAAGAGTGCGTTTAACCATTCCTGGATCAGACATTATTTTGAGAAGGCAGAAACCTGATAGGCATAAAAAGGCAGAAATTTGAAGGTGAATGCCAAGATTCCAGATCTTAGAGGCTATATCCTAGAGGCTATAAATATAACTTTATAATTTTTCGATCCCAGATTGGGTGCCATTTGGAATATCATTCTTGACGTCAGTCTCGACACCATACAATATAATCAAGTTCACATGGCTTCGCAAACTACCATGAGCATCATTGATAAGGAGTTTGAGCGCCTGAAGAATATGCGGGAGATCCGTTTGAACAAAGACGTCATGAATTACCTCGATCAAACACACAAAGAGATCCAACTCAGGGGCATATGTAACCCCAGAGGCCCGCATAAGAAGTCTCTCGTCCATTTCGCCGCGATGGGAGATTGTACCTCTCTACTCCAAAGTATGCTGGACGCCGGTGCTCCCGTTGGCGATCGTGATCAGAATAAATGAACATCCCTCTCTTGGGCCGCAGAGTATGGTTCTCTCGGCGCGGCCAAAATTTTGCTGAAGAACGGTGCAAAGGTTAATTCTCTGGATGATATGTACAGCTCGCCGCTTTCATGGTTGATCCATGCTGGTAGTCCTCAATACAGGGGTCTCGAAGCTACCAGTTCATACCTCAAAGAGAACGGGGCCACTACGAAGGGTGCAAAGCGCGCATGGATACTTAATAAATTGCGACTCCTCTGAGAACGAGGATGAGGCTGTGCTTGTCGTCTATCAAAAACTTATGTTTATTATGGAAGAAGGTGGAATTTAAGAGAAGAACTGGGATTCGTCTTGCAAGAGCCTCATGGCCATCAAATAGAGCGTTATTTACTGCGCAATGAATATTGCCGTGCTACATATCCGTGTCCAGATCACGGGTACATCCTGCACTGCTCCAGCTCTCCCATCGCCTTCTTTTACTCATGATACAAGGTCCATGAATGATTGCGCAGACGTTCGAGTTCAGAAATGAGATTCTGTTGACGATTTTCAAGTAGCGATACATGCTCCTCGATTTGGCAAAATAGATGATAGAAGCGTGTTCTTGCTTGATGCCCTCTTTGATATTCAAGGAAAGCTATTCAGGATTAATAGGAATATTTTGACTGTGCACATCAGACTCACGGTAGCGCCAGAAACGGAGATCAGAGGCGAGGGCCGTGGATGACACGTATCTGTCGGGGGTCATTTAGCAACCGTGAGATTGTTGACGCCTATGAAACCGTGCTTCTGGTTGCGAGTGTTTTGGGATCGCGGCAACAATTCCGTATCTGAAAAAGATGATACCTGGTTATATTACCTGGACACTTCATGTCCGTCGGCTGCATTTGGTATGGCAGATAGAATCAATTGGTGAGAAGACCCTTCCGTTTCCGGTCAGCCAGCAGCAGCACTAACAAATTAGAAATGGTCAGCGCAGCCGAGGACCTGCTCAACCCCCTCCTGGAGGACGATATTATAGATAAAGGCTATGTAAGTCACCGGCTTCAAATTAGAAACTTTTTTTAATATTGACGGAAAACCGTATACAGATTCTCAGCATTTCAATCTACGTTGAAAGAGGGCTTGCTCATGATAAGACGCCAATAGGAAAACATGAAAGAGCCTGCTTTTGCCAAGGTGTACCCGATTATGACAACATAGTCTCGCTCGAGGCATCGGGGGACCAAATCGAGAGGCTACCGAACATTCGCGATGAGCAAGGCCGGACCTTGGTGATGGGTGAGTGACCCTACCGCAGCCTGTCTCTATTCTATCGTATACTAATTTATCTCTAGTTTCAGCGGCAGGCAGGTATAGAGACCAGATCCGAAAAACAGTAAAGGGCTTTTTGCATCATGGTGTGAGGCTTTCGGAGCTAGAATACCAGCCGGAGTAATTCAATGATAGGGAGTTCGCATGGAGCAAACTCAATGAGTAGTCCCGAGCATATGATGCTAGTTGGAGTTGCCTTCTGCGCACTTAAAGTAGTAAAAATGTGATGTTTGGGCAATTGAAATGCGATTACGACAGACAAACTTGCCGATTTGATCCCTGAATCTCCCTGGTCAACCAATTCAAATGAGCTACTTGGTCATTATGAATGACCGGGGCCAAGCATTACACTGAAAAACAGCGGCTAGACCTTGATTGTTAACGCAATTAACACAACTCTTTTCTATCAAGATCAAAACGCGTATTATCTAATAGTAGACAGAACAAAAGCTTGAACAGTGAGGAACAGAAAGATCGTCGATTACCGTACCATGCATTGAATTTTTTCATCGGTCATATTACTGCTGCTGTGGCTGACAAAGTAGGAGTGCCCGTATGGAAATTTGACTTCCGCTTTAATCGTTCTTCATGGGCCCTGGCGTGTACGAGTAGAATGTACGGGCGGAGATCAAGGCGAACCATGCAAGTCCGATGAGATTCCCTGGGCGGCATGGAATTTCCGTCAACAGTCGTTGCTAGATATTATTAGTACCGTTTGGAAGCACCGTTATGGAAAAAATCCGAGGGAAACAAACTTCTTTCAGCTCCTGAAAAGTGCTTGCCGAGGTCGTTGCGCAGAGAAATTCGATCGCAGCCGGGCAGGTTCTCCAGCGGTCGAGATTATCAAGTCCTACTGCCCCATCTTCCTTGACATATTTCTGCATCAATTCCATCATAATTTTCGAGACTGGTACCAGGTCACTGGCATCGACTCTGCCTCTTTGCCGGAACCCACAGCAATCGATCCGTGCTACCGTGCCTGATTAGGTGAGATTGAGTGGGAAGGTAGAAGTGGAATAAACTTACCGATTTTGACCTGCCCATTGAGATTCACAATGACGCTAGAACAGTCCAGAGATGTGTGATGGAAGTTGTTCGCCACGAGATATAACAGCCCGTCAACGAGCTGTACATAATCAGCCATTTGGCCGCCTGGCAGGTAGGTGAGAGGAAATGAGGAACAAACCTGAGACATTATGGCTGCCAGCTCCTGCTCGTCTGGGAAGGCTTTACAAGCGACGATATGATCCAGAACGAGAGGGTCAAAATCCCCCCAGTGTGTACAGAAGCTCGGGAGTGCGAAAACACTCCCGAATGGAGGCCAGGTTCTCATGGCGCATGGAGCGGAGGATCCGCAGTATCTTGTCAGCGTCCTCAATCGGATACTGGCGCACCGCCCAGACACCGCGGTCTCCAGATGATCGAACGCATACCGCGACGGGGCCAGCTAGGTCACAATCGTAGTACTTTCTGAAAGTACCCCAAGGAGATTCGTCTCGGACTGTCAGGCCCGAACCGATAATGCTCCGCCACTGCATAGTCTCCTGGCGAGGCGGGCTTTGTGGCATCGATCGATTTTTCTTGCCGGTGTGCTCCGAAGTTGAGGAAGTGATGGACCTCTTTCCAGGCGCGGGTCCTAGATGGAGAGGTTGTGGGCCGGGTATGAGGTCCGTTACCGGTGATACTTCTATTTGGGTTTGCGGCTGGGGGAGTAATGCAACCTGAGCGGCCTGGATTCTTGTCACTCTCTTTTCGCCGAGTTTTCGCATCATGGAAGCAGGATAGAATTTGGCTAATAGTTGAAAGCCGAAAAGGAGCACGAAACAGAAAGGAAATTTTGCCCGATTTAAATGGGTATTTCGTACGGGTGGAACACTAGGGTGTTGGATCAGATCTTCACCGGCAAAAAACGCAGTGCCAACGTTGAGCCACCACGAGGGCGTCCAGATGTACTTATAAAGGCATTCACGCCCGATAAAACCAAGCCAATCCTGAGCCCCATATTTCTCCTGACACCATGACTCGACACGTCTTTACCGAACAAGAAGTGCGGCTCGCAGCAGAACGACGAATGAAATACATTGGTGCAGCTAAAATCAGCATCTGCCAGATTCAATTCGAACCTCCCTTACCACGGGACCTGGACCCTAAGAATTTGGACCGGCTACGAAACATCTTCCGAAAGAATCGTTGTCGCCGCCTAGATGTCCAAAACCATGTTCCAGCAACCGTGTCTCGACATAATCTCGCAGAAGCATTGCAGAAGGCGAATGTTCCCCAGGAAGCCTTGCTGACAACCGAAGGCCGGCAAATTCCTCGACTGGAATTTAGAGCGGGGCAACTTCGGGGTCTCCATGGCCGTCATCGTGTGCAAGCGGGTGTTGAGGTACTTCCTCCGGCGGATCGCTGGTGGACGGTTGATCTCTACACAGACGGTACGTGATATACCCGGGCGCTCCCATAGATTGATCCTGACTGTTCCAAAAGACATCGACCGAGAATTGAGAGCGGCGTTGGTGGATGAATATTCCAACCAGAAGAAGCCGACCGATGGGGAAGTCTATCGCAAGATCAGACAGTATGAGGGCGAGGGCAATGAAGCTTTTCGAGAGCGTTGGTTCGTGAGACTATCGCCCAGCAATCAAGAGCGCTTGGATCAACTTGACAATAAAAAGAACCGTCACCTCCGGCATGCATTTGACCGATTGTTGGCGATTCCCGGGCTTTGGCCGGGTGGGATGAGAATCAGCCTCCTTCATCGATTGATCGCTTCGGGCTGCATTGAGGTGAGCTTCAGCCCAAGTTGCTGCAATTTTCTAGCTAATGACGACTCTTCGTCTCTCAGGAGATAGGAACCTATTTCGATCACATCTTGGACTTCTGGTCTTCTCTGGTTGGATCGGATCGTCGTCTGATGAGGAAAATCGATCAGGACACGGTTCACAACCTGCAGTTACTGGCACCAGGTAAATCACGCACTGATGAGAGGAAGGCATGTGGGCTGGTTCTCAGTGGACATGTGTTTGCCGAATTCAGTGCTGATGAGCGAAATGTTATATGGGCCAAAATGAAAGACTTTGATGGTCTCATCCCGTCCTTATACACTTTCTTTGAGGATTTCAAGTATCTAGAGATTTGCGCTCACTGTCTGAAGCGGCTCTTGGGTCCATCACCCCGATCTGTGAGGGAAGCCATGAGCTCGATCTTTGATCCAGACTCGGAGTCTGAGGAGGATCACCGAGAGAAAGGGGAGTGTATCATTCAGACCTCGGAGTCTACTTTCCGACGCCTTCATGCGACCGAAACAGGATGCCTCGAGGCAGGATACCAACATATATGGCTGTATGCTATGCGAAATTATCCTCTGATGCCCCCAGACCCCAAGAACACTGATGATCTGTTGGCCAAACCGACTCGCGCTAAGCCGGACCCGCGCGCGATCTACGACATGGCCCATCTTGCTCACCGGCTCGGCTTTAGGTCCCCAGAAATTGATGGGCTGCTTAACAGTTCTCCGGATCACCAGATTGCACGGTCGGCCCTTCTCCAGGCCCGGAAACCAGGCCGGTATCGGTACGATGACCAGCAGTTTGATGTTCTGGTACGTCGGGTTGTGGATTGATTTACTGAAGCTGTGCCCGATCGGCCCGGTCCCCGCGAGATCTTTTGGCAGACAGCACCGTCAAGGCGCACGCTCGCTCTGGGGTTCCGCAGACCCGCACCCATGTTCAAGATGCTCCTTTATTATTCTTAGATCGACTGCATGCTGATGTTGATGCCGCCGATACAATCACTAGCTTTTTTGTCCGGCGTTGTGTCTTTTTCGCTTTTTGGGGGAAGTCGCCAACGGTTGATCCCATCAATAACAGAAGATGCGGCAATTTGAATACAGACCAAGGGGTTGAAGAGGGGATGGGATCGCCGTTGTTTGTTGAAAAGGAACATGCACCGGGCTTTGATCCGTCTGCACGGCACAAGGGCGCATCAGGCAGGTCATCTCTTATTGGAAGAAGCAACGCTTCAACACGTCTGGTACTCTCCTGTGAGATCGACCATTCAGAAAATAGACCCGAGCCTATGGACTTAGATCCTCTCGAGCCAGCTCAAGATGAGGAAATCTTCGATCCGAGAAGTCCATCGGGTGGATATCACTCTACTCCCAGATGGTCACTGAGCGATTCAGTGCTGGAAATGGTCCCTTCTGGTTACTCGCCCGGGGCTAATCCAGAGTTTGGAAATGCTAGAAGTGAATGCACCAAGATCTCACTGGAAACAGTTTCACTCGAATGGGGTCAGAACGAGCGAGCAACAGGAGAGGAACCCAACCCAGACACCACTGGATCTGCCTTTGGAATTGCTGATCCTGCAGCACAGCGACGAAGTTCGTCAGAAACGATCATATTGTCAGAAGAAAACTGCCCCTCTAGATCGGAAGAATTAAAAACTTTTCTCGATGGCCTAAGAAGGGCCCAAGTGGAGCAAGAGGAGGTGGAAAAAAGGATGGAGAACGACCGGCTCAATGAAGAGCTCAATCTGCTCTATCATAATCAAGCTTCAACCAGAAATTTGCTTCAATCAGGTCCTACTCAGAATTTGTCACTGTCAATCTCTGCTGATCAGCAAGCGGAAGCAACGAACAGAGATGCCGAGCACGTCCGAACAAGAAATGACGACCTCAATTGCCAAGCGTCTACACAACGGCTTATCGATATCAAGTTCTGGTCACTCGAACGAGGTCAGTGGAGCCAATCAGACTGTCTCCTCGTAGACCCGTCCGACCCCTCACCCATGGAGCGGCTCGCACGAAAGTACTCCTGCAAAGGATTTACACTCTACGATGTGAACCTCAAGAGCCTTCGTCTGGCCCATTGCTACCGCGCAGCAACAGCGGATGATACCAAAGCGATCTTCTTGATTTCCGCCCACGAAGAGAAAGCAATTGCGGCTACAGAAGGATTAGGGAAGGAGGAAAAGCTGATTTCAATGGCTGCTCGCGTTGTGGGACGTGCACGATATTGATGAACCAATTTGCCCGGCGGTGCGCGGTGCAGCCAGGATCTTCATGTGAATCTTTGGCTCCTAAGAGTTTCTTCTTGGGGAGCAGATGAGCACAAGAAATTTCTTCTGAGAGGGCCATGTTTCTAGGCCAAGTCTCCTAGAAGGCCCTTGTTCTTGTGAAGCGCTGCCAACTAAGAGAACAGCGACTGAGCATACAAATCTACTTGTATCTCGTAGTGCGGACAAGTTTGTAAAGAAGACTGCCTCTGGAATATAATTTTTTATGCAGAACAACAGCTTCACAATAGCAACCTTCACAATAGCAACCTTCACAATAGCAACCTTCACAATAGCAACCTTCACAATAGCAAACAGAAGAATGCCAGACAGGAATTGATGCTAGTGGAAGCAGAAAAAACAAACATCTCAACAACATGATATGAAAGTATATTGGTGGACAATTGCACATATCGATTTATCTTTACGATGTTGGGTGTCAGATAATCATCACCGAATTGATCAATTATCATCGTTGATAACAAGGTTTTCTGGTGACACAATATATGATAAAGCTTTTGCCACCGTTGGCACCATATGAGCAGTCGTGCGAATGCCGCAGAAAAGCTTCGATCACGCGTTCAACGTTCACCACCAACCTTTAGCTAGGTACCATTTCTCTGAGACAAAATCTGGCTTACTTTCTTACAGGTAGATGTTGATCTTTGAATGTTGAGACAAAGCTGTTGATATACACGAAAAGATGCAGTCATGTTGGAAAAACACTCAATATGGTTCATCAGCAAGGGAAGACTGGTGTAGCCATGAGCAACAGCAAGTATTTGACTGTGCAGTATGCAACAGGTCAAATTGGAGACTTAATTTACTCGGATTTCTCCCCAGTCACCGGTAATTGCTGCAACTGTGCAGGTTATGACGCAGTTCATGGCTTTTCCAATAAACTAAAAGTCTCGCCACCAAGAGAGCTGCTATCGTGGCAGTAAACCCAAAAAAGTCCAGCCCTTGTCATCTTTCCTGACTCCCTGTGAACACGATTGAAAGGACAATATCGATATTAGCTACTGATTTCTTCTAGAAATAACGCAACCTAAACCTGGCTCTTAGCCTCTGCCAACATAATTTGTCGCCGGTGTGGAATGAAGCTGGACTCGTCTTTGTGATTGAATGCGAAAAGATACACCAGCTCACCTTGGCTTAATTGCAAAGAGTGCTCCTAGTAGGTATGCTAACTCATGCTCATCTACTCCACATTATGCTAACGGAGAAGGTGCCCTTGATAGAAGACCTACATTCACTGTCCCCCAAAATTCAGGCAAAAGCTCATCTCTCCTTCTCGCTATCCCTGGATTTGATTCACATGGCTCAACTTTTGAGCGAGAACAAAGGAATCAGACGACTTGTCTCTAATGAAGACCTCATTAGTAAGTCATCTAGTAGCAGGAATCCTCGTGACGGATACCTGATTGTGTCGATAGATTTCTCGGAAAGATTTCTTATCAGCCTGTGGTCTCCTCTAGCGAAGAACAGCCCCAAAAAATCGACTGGGTTTCGGGTTTATCTGAAAAATATCCTTCGAAGATCTCATACAACATATCATACACTCATCGCGGCGTTCTACTATCTAGCTCTCTTGCGGTTCACGATTCAGCAGAAGTTCTCCATTGAGCCGTTCGAAGTGCCCAAGGAGCTTCAGCCTCTACAGTGTCGGCGGCGGATGTTCCTCACAGCTCTTATTCTGGGTTGGAAGTTCACTCAGGATTATGGGTACTCGACGCGACGCTGGGCATCCTTCTCGGGTCTAAGTGAAAAGGAGCTAAATAAAAACGAAGGATTGTTTCTTTCCGTGATTGATTGGCGCCTCTTTATATCGCATACAACGTTCTCTCACTGGAAGTCAGAGGTACTGTACTATGTTCAAAATCCTGATGTTGCTTTACCCGAGTTTACCTCTTTTCAGTAAAGCAGTATACTAATTATAGCTATGTGGATGGAAAGCAACTTCAATAGCCGAGTGTCACTTTTACTCCTCGTTGAAAATGATAGATTTGGACCTGAACACTAATAGTCACGGCAGAGTATCTCTTTGCTGCCTCGTGAGATCCAATTTGAGACTAGGTTCCAGGGTAAATGAAATCATCATCACTATCCACTTTAAATTAAAAGCAAATTGGAGATTCGCCAGAGTAGACTTTCTGTGATGATGAAATTCACTGGACTCAATCTGACTTGCGGCAAACAACCTCCACATTGTTACCCACGGGATCTATCACAAAAGCAGCATAGTATTCGGGACCAAAACGTGGGCGAGGGCCGGGTGGCCCGTTGTCTTGAACCACCAGCTTCCAGGGCTTTCCTATAGAAGGCATCCACTTGATTTTTTTCTTTGGAGATAAAGAATCAAGGTCAACTTTTATTCGATAGTATAGATGACGCTTCTGCTTACCCTGGGCAACGAAAGCCCAATGCGTCTCCGCATGGTAGTCGGACATTCCTGAAAGCCAAAAGTCCGCTTTGTTTGACATCGTGCTTTGTGTATCTCCAAGAGCCACAAGTCTTCCATCGAGCATTGAGATCTGTTTCTCGTACCCCAAAGGTGTAAGAGCTGCGAGGTAGAACTCAACGACTTCTGGATAAATGTCCCGCGGGACTGATAGCGCGACGTGGTCAAACATTTGAGCTGCAAGAAAAAATGCAAGAGAAAAGTTTCGATTAGCACTAGGTTCAGTCGCACGACGGATGAAAAGGAGAACTGTCTGAAGCGAAGAAGTTGCTTTTTAGATTTTTAACAGCTCGATCTCATCTGACCTACCGGAAATCAAAATGGGGCGAGTCTACTAGTCAAATGTATACGCCGGAGAGCGTGATGACGTCAACTGGAGGTGTAAAAATCAATGCGACCGGGTTGGCGGATCTACCCCTTTGTTGAGCGGCGGGAAACGGCCACAATGAACCGGTAAAGCTCTCGTTGCGGCAGGGCGAGGCTCTGGCAATTAACCACGGCGCAGTTACCGCCAAAGACGCCGTCGCCGCCCAGGCAGGCGACTTGGAGTTGGTGCGAGTTCTACTACGCCATCCCTCATTTGATCCCAATCATCGAAATCGATGTTTTGAGGATCCCCTGTTGCTTGCAACAAATGACATTTTCTCTTCGGGATTGCTGCAGAGAGCCAACCTTTACGTCGGGTTCACGAATTTCGAGCGTGAAATCGCACACACCGCCCACGTGCATAATGCCTGCACTGCAGCTTGTTCATCACGTCGCCCCAACATGATGAGTCCGTGGCGAGCTCAAAGACCATATGCATAGCACGCTGACGGAAAACTCTTAAAATCTTCATACGTCTCAAAAGGATTTCAAGTCAGTATCTCTCTATACGTCCTGCTGACCAGAATCCCCACTGAGAACTCTTGTCGTGCTTCTCAACGACCCTCGGCCAGTCGAAAACGAGATACGGGATGAGATTCTAGAGTGCGCCAACAATGCGCCAAACAAGAGCATGCCACGACTAATGCTTACGCCTCGCGCTGAGCATAGACCTAAATTGCTCAGTTACTCCGTCAAAAAGCCAGACAAAACACCTTCAACTTACAAAAAGCTATCTTGCTCAAGAAACATGGCTCGGGGTACGACAGAATACATCATGAATGAAGATGAAGAATTGAAAGCTCACGAGAATTCTCCTCAAATAGAATCCTACCTGGAACCATCGCCGGTCTTTTCTCAAACCACACCGCTTCGGTCAGGTCGCAAGCACATTACGCCGCCCTTTGACACTGTTGAGTCTATTGATCTTACGGGGGAGATCGGCCCTTTGACCTCCGCATCATCGATCACGAACTCTGGAGACCAGCCTTCATCGTTGACCGAGGATACTGCAACACGCAAAGATTTTTATAAGGAGCTTAGGACAAAATGGAAAAACGAAGAATATACATCGGGCGTAACCGAAGATCAAAGCACTTGGAAGGCAAACTCATCACCAAATTTGGAAGAAAGTTCCACAGAGCTACTGGCAGAGTCGGACCGAGCCAGTCATGTCACTCCTTCAAATTTTGCGCAATGGCACAGACAGGATTGCCCTAATTTACCGCAGAACCGCGAGAAGGAAGATGAAGATGATTGGTTTGATGTCAATCATGTTGAAAGTATGTTTGGAAGTGCTGAGCCAGAGTTTGATCCACAGCCATCTTCGATGTATGGTCTAGAGAACCAAAAAGAGGGGCAGCATCATTTCTCACTTTCACGATCTACATGCAGTGATACGGTAGGACAATCGGCTAGAAATGCCGTGAAGATCACTTTGAAAGAAGCGAAGAGCAGTTCTCAAGAGAATGATCAGAATCTTTCGAATTTTATGGCTATTCTTACAGAATTCTTTGCTCAATTGAAATCACGACTGAAGGAGACCCTTCAGACAAACGCAGAGCTTGCATACGAGCTCTTACTACGAGGGCAATCAGCAATGGACCTCATCGCGACGAACAAGGATCTGGTAGCCCAAATGGACGCCATTGAATTGCTGCAGAAGAGCAGAGAAGCCTATCGCAAGATTATTGCCCAAAGGGAGAGCCTCAAGCAAAGTCTGATGCGAGAGATTTCACAAGGTTTCGATCCAACAACTATGCCGGAAGAGCTAGATAAATGCCGAGCCATTGAAGCCAAAATGCGTGAAATAGATTCTACCATTCGTGGCCTATTACCCCAGGCTAAGATCTTTGAAATGGTACAATGTTCTGCATCGGACAGATCTGAGTCGCCCGCCTAAGCATTATGACATGTTATTGTATATAAATACTGTATACCTGATTATAGCACTTCCTTTTGATTCTTCATGCCCACATACACGTGTGAGGATTTCACGTATCTCTTGATGAGGAGCGTGTCTTTCAGATAAATGGTCGACAGTCGCACTTTGATGAGACAGAGAAACGGGCATATAGCCTTAATTTTGAGATTAAAATTACAGTAGCGGGCGTTGGAGATGGGCAGTGGCAATGCACAAGGGTGAAGTACAAGACATTGAGCGACTCGTGATCGAATATTTGCTTTCCTAAACAGGAACTTGCTAGCAAAGGTCGACTACTGTCCATATTGCCGCTGGTAAAGACTCATGTTGTTGGCTACTGCATTTCGGCAAGGCCAAAGCGGCTGTATAAGGGATGACTTCGGCCAATCTCGAATTATCAGTGCATAGCTTATCAGGGAATTGTAAAACTCACCGTACTTGCAGCCTCGATTATTTCTGAGGGCTTAAACATGGACGACTCTCCAATTCTAGCTGGTTCTAAACTTGATCAATATTGTAACGCAGCATTCGGATGCATTGCATTTTATTTAGTGACCCAGTATAGGATAAAATGTTGCCACTGTTGGTACCGTTTAAGCAGTCAGAGGGTTGCCGCAGAAAAGCTCCAGTTACGCGTTTCAACATTCACCACTGACCCAAGCCGCACCATATCTTGCTTGCATTTACCTGATATCATGTATAATGTGCTAAGGCAAACTTACCCTGCTGTGATATAGTAAATATGGAGGCTGAATGAACGTGAGCAATTCTGCGGTTCGGCTAACCCGCAACCAAAGGCGCATCCGTAACTTGATCTTTGCATAATCCGGGGATAGGAGATTCTTCGTTCGAAATAAGGCACTCATCATTGGTGAGCGGAATAACATGGCATAACCAACTGCCGCCACTCCTGTCACGATAAGGTTTGGGCCCACGTTGATGAATGTTGAAAGGTGTCGTCGGCGCTTGTATGCGGTATCACTGTGCGTGTTGAAACAAGAATAACAGTGAGACAGACTTTCGGATATACTCAATCATCAACAGAATGGACAAGAAGTCGTGATATCGCCGAATACTGCCTCAATCACAGGTTAAACGATAGGTCAACTGCAATTTGAGGCCCAGCGATGTTGAGACCCTCACAATTGGCAGCAATCATGACATCAGCGCAAAGGTCAGGGCTGAGTACAATGCTATAAGTACCTGGGCTTTCGCCAGCAGGAAGATTATTCTCAAAGATTCCTTCACATTTCATCCTGCGAAGAATATCAAGTACTTCTCGACTTCGCCAGCTGCCTTCGGTATGGACTGACCCGACCCCAAACTTTGATGCACATGTGATCGAACTGACCTGTTGTATCGCTCCTAGTCTACCTATGCTCGACATCGAAATCCGTAAACGGCAGGTAAGTTTAGCTCCCCGATAATTTGACATCATGCTAACGTGGAGGATGTTTCACACCAGCTCCGTCTCTGCTTCTCTGGGAGTTTAATTCAAAGAACTGGAATTGTCTCGATTTTAAACTCAGGTTGCGAAGTCAATGAGTTATAAGAGCCCATAAGCTACCTACCGACGGTTTATCATAGATCAAAACCATCCACTTACAAACCGGGTCGACCACACTGGAATATCACGCGCAGCGGTAGCTGGCAAGGTGAGATTCGATCACTATGGCAGCTTCAAGAGTAGTTTACCTGTGCTAACGACTCTTTATAAAGGAAGCCGATCGTTTTACCATGAGCCGGTCCATATCTTGTAAGTGCCCCACGCGTTGCCACTGTCTATTTCCAAAGCCAGGACTGCATTTTGGATTTCACTGTGGAATTCATCTGTTTATTGCTCTCTGTTCTTCAGAAATATCGCTAATGTCTCTTTCTCCTCATAGGGCGAATGTCAATATTGCACTCTGCTGGGTCAAACCGCTGACTCCCAGTCTGCTTGCGTTTTTGGTGTGTCTGAAGATGTGGTTGCCAGGGCCGCTTCGCCTGACGTTGCTGGCGTGCCAATTCAGGAAGGATTGATGCCCTCCAGTTAGGCATGTGGTAACATTCCAGAGTATTTTTTATCTCTCAACCACTTCCCTGTCTGATCAAAGGTTAACGGTTAATATATTAGGAACTTGCCGTATCTTGATGGCTCCGCAACTCTTATCCCACGTCCAACCCATAGCCTCGTCAGCAGCCATGACCTGGCCCTTTGCTAGACCGATCGAACATAGCAGCATCTCACGACGGGGAGATGTCTAACATCAGTACCGACCCACCCATTCTCTGGCAAACCCTTAGACAGACCTTGGACAACTTCAAATACAATCGAATCTGCGGGAAAGTGAGTTATAAAGTGCCTTCATAAGCTATCTACTTACTTACTATTATCCATAGATCGATGGCATACTTTATGCAACGGCTTTGATCATGTCAGAATGTAGCAGACACCTATATCTGACAGCGTAAGTTTTTATCATTGCGGCAATTTCAAGACTACTTACTTCGTGCTGACGCTTCATAGGAAGGCAAATAGTCGATTGCAAGCCCCCGAATGTCTTCTAATTCACCCTGGTGCGTCGCCTCTACCCATTCCCATGGCCGGGGCCGCATTTTGAATTTCATGCGAATGTGACTTTCTTCATTCTTGATCTCGCCTTGCTCTCTGACTATCAGAAACATTTATGATGCCTCTGCCTAGCCATAGAACATATACCAAGAAGCCAATCATCAAGGCCGGTCCACACTTTCCCATCGCCTTCAAAATTAAGGGTGCACGACTGGTCAGGCCACTGGCCATCAGTATGTTTCGCGTTTTTTGTTTCAGAGACATTTGCTTGAAATGCCCATTTCGCTGCTGTTGACGGGAAACCCCCAGGGAAGCTAAGTCCTCTTTGATTTGCATATGGTAGAGTTCCAGCATGCTTTCATCTCCCACATACCCCCTCCTTTCCAACCAATGGTTAACCGTCACAGCGTGAAAGATCTTCCATATATCGACAGGCTTGATCTTGACCCATGATAGACCGACTGAACTATCGCAGCGTCCGGCGACAGCAAAAAGCCGAGCATTAACGACCACCGAGGAGGACCACGGTTTCCCCAGTAAAAGAATCAATATGGAATGAACTGAGCTTTTGGCTACACTATGAGGACCAGCTCTGTTAGAGCCTGGTTGCAGCCGAGCAAGCAACATTGTAGGCCACGGCATTGGATCCACCCCGGATCTCTCGCCACGAGCGCGGTAATCTTCAGGTCAGTTCCTAGCCTCCTCAGAACAACATACCATGACTATCTCCTCCAGTCATGTCCTTCACTGACACAGCTGGAAGTTTGCCTAGGGATACGCATTGACAGATATAGCCCACTCATTCCTGCTGTACGGAGCAATGCCGGGCCCTTTGACGTGTAAATGAGGCGAGACAGCTACCTCGTGTCTAGTCTGCCTATGCTGATGCCAGGCTTCACTGCAGTAGGTTGGCACTACCCTCATCACCTGGGATCATGCTAATATGGAGAGGCAGTGAGAAACCGCCGTGGTTCGGCCGCTCCCACGGGTCCAATCGGGGTTCTGTTTGTGGGCTGGTATTAGGGAAGCTCATCTATACCACGAGCATGGTGAGTGGCGAAGACCTCTCTTGCGCCAGCAGCGAAAAATGTGTGCTAGAATTAGTATATCCCTCGGCAAACTGCTTTGCTGTGTCCCAATGCAGAAAGCGATACCCAGGCTGCGGCCATGGCCTGCTTTGCGAACGAAGCTGGCAACACGTTCTCATAACTGCACGCTTGGGATAATCAATTGACATTTTGCCAAACCGCTGATATAAAGATAAATTTTCCCTTCCAAACGTGGCCGCAAGCCGATCGAATGCTCCACAGGTGAAGTCTGGCAATCCTTATATCACGCATCATGACCGAGTTCGCTGGAAAGTTGCTGCCGACAGAGGTTGTTGCATGGCCGAAAACAGGAATCGACCTGGAGCTGGGCGGGAGTGCATTGTAGGGCCGACGAGTGCGAGCTAAGGGAGTCACTCTGCCATACTCGAGGTGATTCATTCCTGGCAATAAACCGCAATTGTCGCATTCTTGTGCCCCGGGTCACCACCGAACGGCACGAATTCACCAGCGGACGCAGCCTCGCGAATTACGGCCATTCGATTGCCGCAGCGGTTGGAATTGCTCAATTGTTACTCGAAGGATGCCAGGCGAGTTTGTGATAACTGGTAGAATAGCCGTGCTTATTGACCTCGGACGTAGCTGTGTTGTTCTGCCATTGTGGGGCCTATCACTTGCGCCCGACGCGAGACGCTGCGACGCGTCAGTGCACGGCCTTGTCGCCTGTAGTATACCGCCGGGTGCTGCCCTAGGACGGTGTCAAGTGACGACAGAAAACACGAGGCCCACGAGATAAAAATGTACGCGAGATGAGCTGGGAAACCCCCAGGTTGGGAACACGATGCATGAGCGAGAACCGTCTTTCTGATGAATGGTAATCCAGATGCGCCCTGCGGGAATCGAACCCGGTTCGTTAAGGAAGCCAACGTGTTATATTCGACTAGATCACGGGAGCAGATGCGCTGAACGCGCGAAATCTGCCTCACTATATCCACCGTCTTTTTAGAATATTATAGCCACCGTGAGTCTCGACTCGTACCCAGCTACATCACCCCTTTGAGCTCCACGAGTGTCTCTCATTTGGCCGTGCTAACGTAATATGACATTTGAAAAGAGGGCCAGAATAGAGGGCTTGAATCGCTGACATTCTGATGGTTTTCCAATTCTACTGCTACCATGTACGTGCGCATCTGAGGATATATATTACGCACATGATGATCATTCATCGATAATACCTAAGAGCTGTGTATCGCCAAAGAATATACGGCGAAGCTCGAGCCGCGTAGAAGAGCGACCCGAGTGAAAATAACGATACAGTCTATCGTCAATAGATGTACATGGCGTACCCTCTAACATATTTTTGAATTGGGAACCAAAGT